ACGGGTATACGGTAGGTAGGTATTCATGTACTGTACTGCATGTACATGTATATATATTGTATTTATATACATGTAAAGGTATATATCAATATCGATTCATGTACAATGGATTGGATGTATCTAATGTACATGATATTTGTATACATATATTCCTCGAAAAATCATTATCAATTTTTTTTTATAGATTCTAAAATAGCTTATTTTGTCATGAACTTGACTGCACATGTATTTAATTATAAATAAATATTATTATAATCAGCCCAATGAAATAAAAGTGTTGTGTACACATGTACAAGTTCAGTATAACAACTTTGGATCAACATTTTAATGACAAAACATTTTGTTTGTTGTTTATTAGTTTTGATCTGTACATAGAAACACAAATTATGAAGCCATCGACAGATGCTTGTTGTAGAATTTAATTAAAGATTATGGAAATAAAATACATTGTAGATTAAAATTCTGACTTTACCTTTAAATATTTTGGTTTGTTTGTGTTTTACGTCCTATTAACAGTTATGGTCATTTAATACAAGGACATGCCAGTTTTTGGTGGAATTCCTGGAGAAAAATCCACCAACCAGCGGCCAGTACCTGGCAACTGCCCCACGTAGGTCTCGAACCCGTGACCCAGTGGTGGAGGGCTATGGGTAGCAGAATGTCAGATGCCATAACCACTTTGCCACCGCGGCCCCTACCTTTAAATATCTGCTTCACACATTAAATTATTAATATACAATATGTTGTAATAACAGTATGGCATTATTACAATTTCATATTTTCTCTTATACAAAAAATATCCTAAAGTTAACAGCAATTTACTCAAAAAACTTAAGGCAATGTTATATCTTAATTTTTGTGTTTTTTTTTTATAGAAATTGAGTTTAGCACAAATTCTAACAGTGAATCTAAATATATATAGGTCACAGTGACCTTCATGGTACATTTGATATATTTTTGTAGGGTACATGTACTGTGTAGATGTAATGTGTCCACCTATGAATTTGATGACTGTTTGATGTCTAGATAGTAAAAAGTGAGGGCATTAAATGCAAATTCTAACCAAAGTCAGTGAAGTATGATATTTAGGTCACACGTCACAGTGACCTCAATTTGAAGTTTGATGACTGTTGATCATGACCTTCTAATATAAGGCTATTAGCCTAAAAGCAAAATATGCTGTCATGACCAAGATGGGGTATGCATATGATGGACAGACAGATGGAAAAGGCAAACATTTAATGCCCCCCCCCCCCTAGCCTGCTCCCTGACAGATCTGTCAGATGTTGCAAGGACATAAAATTACAATATATTGTACTTGGTTTTCCCAAATTCAACTATTCATACGAAGCTACATGTACAAAATGTACTAATGCTAATTACATGAGTGAACATACTGTATATAGACTGTACTGTTATATCAACAGGCTGTGGGCCCTAGGTAAACAGAATATTGTATATGTAGTTCCATTCATTTCTCTAAATAAAAATAGTTTAATTAATTTTTTTCCCCTTTTCACTGATCAGCTGGCAGTCTGCCAACTCTGACATACATTTTTAATTCCTCTGGCCTACTGAAGCTGTGTATGAGCAGTTGAGAATTGGCCATGCATGGTCTGGCTGTAAAATATATACAGTATGTTACAAAATGTATAGGTATATACAACGTCTTTATATCATGTTGTATATATACTGTGTACCCACTGGCCTGTATACCCAGGTATATATAATTATGGTAAACGTAATAATACAAGGAAACTACACATACACTACATTGTTCAAGAAAATTTTCGCAATATAACACACACAGTTATTAATTTGACTTTGAACCAAAATGTATATATTATTACAACTGCCTTTTATATACCCCTTCATGATACAGATATATTTATAAATGGCTATACTGCTGGTTGTCTGCTGCCATAGTTACACATACAAAACACCCATCCTTCAACTGGAGGCTCACTTTTACTGTTTAGCTCGTGATCATTCACCCCTGAAGACACATTTGAACTCTCCCAATTCAAAGGTTGGAATATATATAGTTTATTATGAAATTTCAAGAGTGAATGAATTAACAGCCAGATTTAAAAACACAACATACATAAAGTCAAAAAATATTTTGCGAACAAGGATGAACTGTACATGTTCACACCAGATTTTTAACTTGCTGATGTGGAGACATACATTAAATACATTATGTTGAAATTAAACTGCCCTAAAATATTACACAAGACCAAAATCTTGGTTTTTCTGATGAGTAATATAATATCAGAACTAATTATCATATAATTAACGAGACCTTACCAAATCACTATGTATGTGAAATTCATACATGTAATCCTTTTCATGATTTAACAAAATAACAGTAGCTTTTTGTTTGGGAAATGTTGAAAATATTTTACAAGCATTTTATCTTTTACATCTTATTACATATTTGAATTCCACACCCAGATATGGATATGTTATCTGGTCTGATATGTACATCAAAAACATCTGATAATTCATATATAACCACTTGTGGGTACGAAGAGGGCAATGATTACATACAAGTACCTTGATCGAAATTTGAACGTGGGTGTGAAAAATATGTGAACCCTAAGTTGAAACAATTTTCAGCTAAACCTTGAACAACACTTTAAAAGTCTTGGAATGAAAGATATTTTTTTTTTTGGATCCCAGTCAAAATACGATTAGGATTAAAATGCATATACATGTACCCTGTCCATTGCATGTGTATACGTAGTACACTCTAAATGTATGTGACGTGTATATATATATATATATGATTATCTATAGGCTGGTGCAATTACATATTGAAACTAGGTTCGAACAAAAAGATTAAATAAAACTTTACAATGGAATGTTGGGTCATGACCTACCTACAAAAAGTCCCATTGTCGTGTGATCAACACAGGTATGTAAGATAATAGGAAAGGTGTATTATACAGGTATGTACCACTATATACTGGTAACCTGTTTTACCACGGTACCAGGTATAAAATGCCACACACAGCCGACGCTGACGAGATGGCACTTCATGACCCGTTTTCATGACAGTAACAGACATCTAGATCAATAACGGTTAAACAATTGTACTGACATATATATACATTACTGATCTACAATATTTATCTTTTGAACGAGGTAGCTAGATCATACAGCATAACCATACCAGTACTATGCCAGTTCAATGGATAAACCAAATTGTCGTCAACATTTTTGTGGTTGATCCAAATTCCCAGGCCAAAAGAAATCGGTGTTTCTGCTTTGCCCATGGACCTGCTCTAGATTTTACTACTAACACTGGTCTGCATTTCACTGATACATTGTAAAACACTATCATTTTATAAACTTGAAAAATTATGTTGAAAACTAAAAATGTTTGCCTTCTAATCTCACCTAACTTGTAAGGGATGTATACACAAACACAACATTTATTTTGTTTGGCCTAGCTAATGGTCTTACATACCCCGAAACCCTATATATACATTAACTTCCAAGTATTTTATAAAATTAATGTACAGTATTTTCGGTACCGCAATGTACATGTCAATCTTTTAATTAATTAGGAAAAACTATCAATATACAACATTTCTGTTTTATTATTTCCCTTGATTTTAAAAAAAAATACTAAATGATCCTCCAAATACTCTAGATATGTACAATGGTTTAATGTAACAATAATTCAGATTTGGGTTATACTTATAATTCATTTTTTAATGTTCAGTATATATATTATATACATGACAGATTCATATTGAGCATGTACTCATCTGTCAATCTTATAACTCATCAATTGATGCTGGACAATGTTTCATCAGAATATGTGATTGTTTGTCATATAATTGACAAACATAACCACTTACTTAGCAATTTTGAAGCCACGAGGTCATATGAATAATGAAACTATATCAAAACTGACCCATTTAAACTGAAAATCAAATTATTCTAAATTTAAAAGTTGTTGTGAATTCCCAGGTTCTGTATCTATCTTTTATACAAATGTCTGCTGCAGCAGCACTGCTCTAGATCTGTAGCTGTTCAAAGTTCACTGTAGTGAGCATCTTTGTATACATACACCACTTTAAATGTGATCTGAAATAGTGAATGCGGTTACATCTGTCTTTACCTAAATTATTGATTGACATTGATTTTCTATTACTAGTTCAAGTTTGGGACAGAAACTATGACTGGAAATTAAACTTTCATGAAACTGAGAACTGCCATGATATGTCAGAGGCTTAAGTTCATCCAGATCAACGGAAGATGTACATGCGATAATATATTAAAACAGAACTTGTTTTGAACATAATTGATATGTGTTTGACATTATAATTATATATATGGATTTCGAGAATGTTGGTACTCCGATTTCCACCCACACTAAGACCCTGTGCGAGCCAATATCTGGGCCAACAAGAGTGATTAATATAAGTTGAAATAACTTTGTTTCATAATTGTTGTAAAATAAACGAAGTTTATATATAACACCTATTTTTGTTGATATCGAAGGAGGAAGACAAATAGATGAAGATGAAGACTACAATGCGGCCATCCACTGTTCGAAAAACATGTACACTCTTCAGAAAAAAAGTATTTATGCAAATTGAATATATATACAGAATCCTGTGAAATAATAAACACTACCTTGCACAAAGTTTGAAGTAAGTCTAGACATAATAATATCCTGCAAAAGCTTCACCACAACAACGTAACTTGGTAAAGTATAAAAGATTTTAAGGATGGGTTTAAGGCTGCATAGTAAAATTGCATTGGTGTTATTCTATGAGTGATGGACACATACATCTAAATCCCTATGTCATGAGACATCAGTCAAACTAGGTGGGGTAAAATTTGTTGACATAAAAGATCAGTCATGTGGAAAGTTTATTATTCTGACGCCCTACCGGATTGGCCACGATGGGGGCTTTGTTTACATGTGGGGTTCTTTGTTGGAGATCCCTTTTACAACGGTGTTTAGCGTTCTAAATACTTACCCAACCTCCACTGGTAGTAACCCATTGGTCCAGATTATTTTCTATATATGTTGAGACCCACTCCACGATGGAATCGACTAAATGTGGCATCCCTTTATTAACACAGTCTACTGCTATTGCACCTCCGAATCCGAATAAAGCTACGATTCGACCCCAATTTACACCGTCAATGAACAGCTCTTGAACCACCTGATGGAAGGTCGGGTATGCTGTATTCGGCGTAATATGTAACTGATTCACCATATCATCAAACTGAGTCCTAAACCGCTCTTGAAATTCATCACCAAGCGCTCGCAAAGTTCTGTGAACATTATTTGTTCGAGCTTGCAAAGGTGGACAGTTATCCCATGTATATCCATGTCGGCTCAGCCGGTAATTTATGAAATCGACCACCAGGTACCTATAACTCGTCGGGTTCATCTCAATATTGTTGTTTAAACTCATATCGCGAACATCGTAAGGCACAACAATATAATGACATAGTACTTCCCTGGTTGTCGGCCTAAAGCTTTCTGCTTTTACCGAGAAATACGCCAATCATTCTCACTCTGACCTCCTCTTCCTCCTGCTGGTCGATTTCGTAGCAAGGGCCGCTTGACACAAACACAATACGTCATAAGATCGATAGGGTTGCTCAATTTGCAATTACATATACTATTTCATGGAATATCCCAATATATCAGTTATACATAAAACATGTGTGTCTACAGCTGATATCAACATAACGTTTGGTCTATTTAAAATTGATTAAACAGTCATTTTCAATGACCGTGTGGTATGATGAATGGAATATAAGCTCGAGGTCAAAGTTCAAAGGTTATACTAGCGTATAAAAGTCAGCAGAAATACTACGCATGAATGCTATTCATAAACTGTGGGAGAGAAACGATTGGGGATCGCTGCACTTGAGGTTTATTTCAATGTGCAGGCCATAAACACTTTCTGGAAAACTTTTGTTATCCTATTTGAGATAATGACAACGAAGTGTATAGAAATTGTGACGAGTGGTATCCGAAGTTTATTTACAGTAATCAAGCTAAACCAAAAAGTTGCATGGGTAACGCAGTGTTTTATAAGATAAACTTGGGCCAGCCACATTCAAATTAACCTGTTTATCAACATAACGTTTTCGAATTTGAATAAAACTAAGCTGTTGATTACTTTAGTATTCATTACTTCTCATGCATATTTATATCTAATGGAAATGCATATCCTTTGAAACAAGTGTCAATACAGATTTTAATCGAGAATAATCTTGCATAAACCCCTGACACAATTTTGTAGTATTGGCAAACACTAGGATGTCTAAAATACGCCATTTAATATGTATTGGTAAAACCCGACTAGAGGGGTGTATTGTTGGTTTAAATACAGGCTGTTACTATGCAGATACAGAGCACCTACTAGTAACTGAATTATTTACCTCCTGCATTACTTACTACAGGTACGCAATCAACCTTACTATCTGTCGAAATCCACACAGACGTAAAGCTAAGAGGATTTGTAATGTAAATATTAAGAATGAATTTTGAAGAGACCTGCAGGATATTTTTTTCATATTCTGTTACAAACCAACCAGATTTTTTTTTACAAATACCCAGCTTGTCTCCTGTACTTCAATAAAGTGTTTGTTGTGTGTATACACTATTTTTAGGATTTCAAAACCGATTTCAAGACTAGTCTATTTTTTTACATTTATATTTATGGTCTTTCTATCTTAGTTACCTATTTACTTCCTGCTAGGGGAGGAAAGGGTGGGGGTATTTTACAAATTATTCAGTTCTTCAAAGCTGAAGCAGAGCTTCAATACATATTAAAGACACGTTTAAATCACTAAACTGTAAACTTGGTAACAGTCACAGCCACAGGCTAGGCTAACGTAATCTTATTCAGTGGTCCAGTATAATGTCGGATTGAACACTTTCCCTGCCAGAGAACGTATTGCGTAATGCTATTTTAACTACCAGACAGTCCCATTTAGTGTATTGAGGACAAGAAACATTCCCAACGTGCCCGAGGGAGCGGCTCGCTTTATGCAGTAGATCTCGGTCGGGCCGTGTGGGTGGGTTGCTAACAATCATAGACCAGGGTACACATCATAATTTAAAATAGGTTTATTGATAAAGATATGGACCGATTGACTGATTAGGTATAATGAAAGTTTTAGGCGCTGACGGAATCAAATACTTATAGAATGTGTACTGTATAGAAAAGGTTATTTCAGATGAAAGGTGCATATTCTAGAGAATGTCAATACCGCAGTGATTGTCAAGTTTTAAAGGGGTAATACAAGTATCTGTAGTTGTATCTGCACTCGCCGTATCGTGTTTCTTAGATTGAGATTGTGANCCCCCCCTTAACTATCACTTGGTTCTCCAATGCTTATCGTCATCTTAGTAGGGAATCAAGACGTATAATAACGGTTTTTTTCTGGGCCAAACTCCAATCCATGATTTAATTCAAGACACTCTGACTGTAACCAACATAACGTAGTTTCAATAAGAAGGGATTTCAACTTTTAACTACAAGAGCAAGATAATACGAATACCCCAATAGGGTTTCGCACATCGGTTGCCAAGTAGAAACACGTTGTACAAGTTGCAAACCGCTTTTTCATGCATATTGACATGAGGGCCTAGTGTGTCTTACGTAATGACGCAATCTCGTTGTAATGATGCCCGGTAAATCAATGTTTCGAACTGCTCTTGAAAATTACATCATTAATCATTATGATTCTCACCACGAGTGTATAGAAAACAGCATCGATCAATAATCATTGTGTCGAAACGAGCCTCTAGATAAAGCGAGACAACTCTTGCTACTTTCCGCGCGGACTAAAACAAGTCTAAAGTAGTAAATATGACAATTTTGATTGACACATAAACCCAGACAAAGACAAAATTTCCATTGTCGCAATTTAAGTTTTCCAAATCGCTGTAAGTGAGACGTCTTGTCAAAGGTGCAGACTGTTATCTTTATGACGTCACGACAGAAATGACGTCACAATCGCCAAAGCATGCTTGCATCTGAAAGTGCCCAACTTGTGTGATGGAAATATGTTTCATATGAACGAATATAAAAGCAAGCTTTTATGGCTACAAGTTACCTATTTACATGGTCAAAGTGAAATACAAAGGGACGATTGGAACGGATCCGTAAACCTTTCAAGGGAGATAATTCGTGTGTTTATTAGTATTATATATATATACTATATACCTACCCATCCACCATGACTTTCAATCCAGTTTTCTAACTGATTGTCCAGATATTGTGACGTCCAGTCAATTAATGACGACACAAGGTCCATCATTTGTTGTTGACAGAACTTTTTCGCTAGCGTACCACTGAAAGCGAAGAGGGCTACAATCCTGCCCCAGTTTACACCATCATGAAATAATTCTCCGACTGCCGTGTTGAACGTGGGATATGCATTATATTGACTCATATTAAGCTGACTTCCTAGATCTGAAAACTGAACTGCGTATCTCTCCTCGAATTCATCGCCCATTTTACGTAACGTTGTATGAATTTCTGTCGGCTGGCTCAAAAGAGGAGGACAGTTCGCCCATGTTATTCCTTGTTTAGTAAGCCGGTAGTTTATGTAATCCACCACAAGATACCTCGAAGCTGTTGGATTCATTTCACGTTTAGTTTTCCAATTAATTTTCACGACTTCCATCATACAGGATTGTAATCATAACCGATACACACGTTGAAAAGTTGTTGATCATTTGAAACATGTTGTCAACATCAATCAATTTTAAAACGTCTGCTCGGATCACACGGTCGTAAACAACCTGTTTACCAGGTGGTATGATCCGTCTCGAATAGGTAGATAGTTCCCGTCGAAATATCTCGACCACCGGCAAAATGTGTATAGGAATATGTGTAACATGTATGTATGCTTTATCAGCAAGCAAGACCTTAACGTCTGGCTAAAAATAGCGTGTAACGTGTGACATCACATATTTCGATAAGTATGTGTACGGAGCTTTAACTTACACAGGTACAAAACCGGGTTCATAGTAGCGTGTTAATGACTGTTAAAAGGAGTGTTAGGGAGATGCGTGCTGATAGGGGTGATCACTGGATGGTGGTTCAAATGTAATTATAAGTGGTCGATATACGGAGGTATTCATATAAGAAAGGTCGCTATAAGGAGGTGGGTGTTGGAGAGGTGAATTGAGGTAAAGTTACTAGTAGGGGTGATCACTGGATGGTGGTTCAAATGCAATTATAAGTGGTCGATATACGGAGGTATCCATATAAGAAAGGTCGCTATAAGGAGATGTGTGTTGGAGAGGTGAATTTAGGTTAAGGTATTTGTGTAGGAACTCTCTGTTTCATGAGGTTCTACATTGTCAAAATGGGAAGTACGTACGAGTGGATGGTATAGGGAGTGGTCGCCTATGGAGTAGTTACACTGTACATGTATGAGTGGTCGGCCTATGGAGTAGTTACACTGTACATGTAAAAGTGGTCGGCCTAGGGAGTTACACTGTACATTTAGGAGTGGTCGGCCTAGAGAGTAACATGTAGGAGTGGTTGGCCTAGAGAGTAACATGTAGGAGTGGTCGGTTTAGGGAGTTACAAATGGAGTGGTCGCCTGGGGAGTTACAATGTACATGTAGGAGTGGTCGGCCTAGAGAGTAACATGTAGGAGTGGCGGTTTAGGGAGTTACAAGTAGGAGTGGTCGCCTGCGGAGTTACAATGTACATGTAGGAGTGGTCGGCCGAGGGAGTTACATGTAGGAGTGGTCGGTTTATGGAGACTTTTAGGAATGGTCAGTATAAAGAGTTACATGTCGGAGTGGTCTATCTAGTGAGTTCAATATTCGAGGAGTGGTCTGTCTATGGAGTTCCTTGTATAAGTGGTCGGTTAATAAGGGAGTTATTTTAGTAGGAGTGACCGTTATATGGAGTTATACGAAAGAGTGGTCGGTATAAATTGTTTCATGTAGGAGTGGTCGGTATTGGGGGGTACTTGTAGGAGTGGCCTGCTTAGAGAGGTTTGTGTAGAAATATTAATTTTTCGGAGGCAAGAGATAACTAAAATGACTTTATAAGTGGTTTGTTTTGCTCACTCGAAAACTTCTTAAAGGAAATGTCTCGACCAAGTTATCTGAGTAAAGTCGCTTGTAAAATAGGACGATATCAAGTCTATAATTTTGCTTCAACATTAACTGAAGAAAAGTGTTGTAGTCAAGAAATTTACAATTCAAACCTGTTAATGTGATTGATTAAAATCACTGAGATTTAAATTTGAATTGAATTGCTTTACACAAAATCGAAACACCTGTATGGGTATGCGTTTCCCACAGTTCAATAGGGGAGTATACTGCATAATGCTGTACTGTGCAACGTAGCCAACTGAGTTTAAAAAATATTGAATGGCATTTTAGAAAATGTGAGCGATTGATTTTGTTTCGCCGTGCGTGAAACTTTAAAAACCAGAATAAAGGAAAGTTGATTCACCCGAAATATATGTATTACGTGGGCGCGCGAACACTTGTATAGTGTTTCAATTGTGTGTACGTCATGCTTTAAGGAATATGGGCTATTATTAATAAACAAATTTATAAAAAAGATAAAGGTCAATTACTCATTGACTACAATCAAAATATTTGTAAACGTGAGAAAGAAAAAACGCAAATCACGTTACGTGAGCTAATTCCATCACGTGAACGTCTTTTGTAGAGAAACAGGCTTGCATAGGTACATGGGGTCGTTGTGATTCCTCCTCTATCTAATCCGTCTTTGCGTATTGCAGAGTTATCTTCTCTTGTGAGCAGGTATTGA